ATTCCGTCATTGACGTCTACCCGAGCCAGATGTTCTTCTGGGACGTGCGCCGGGGAAGTCCATCTCTGCCGAGTGTGAGTCGCGTGTTCATTCTGCTCGCAGTTGTTTGAGTTCTGCATCACGCGAAATACTTCATCAGTGCATCTAACTGTAGTAACCGAGCACAATCCTGCAAAGATGCCACAGTCTCTCAGTCATTAATGATTAATTAATAGTCCATTCTCTCATGTTTTATATTTGTTTTGGTATTAGCTAATTTTAAATGCAAGTGCTGTGAAATATTTTGTCTGTTCCTGTTTTTTGTCTAATTTTAAGTTTTTAATGTGTTTTTCGGTGCCTATTTAAAAAAACAGTGCCTTTTTAGGCACCTAAAATGTAATTTGTACGCAAGTAAATACGAACAATCTGCTCCAAAAATGTTGAGGCCTAGGGTATTACAAATTATCGATGACAACTTACAGGAAAACATTTATAATACTACTATAATCGTAGCTTCAAATACTTGTGCGAACGTATAATGCACAACACGAGTTTTGGAAGTAAATAAATTTGCAAGATAATTTTACATCGTGTAACTAACACAAGGCGAGATCGTGGATACTTCAAAATAGCATTCAACGCCGAACAGCCGTGGCGACAACATCGCTCGCTCCGGCCTAGTCAGTGCAGTTACTCAGAAAGTTCACTAAGTGTATAACAGTGAAATACTCGTTGTGAAGTGAAGTGAAGTACAATCAGCTAATATACAGTGGGCCATAAACCAAGTCGCTTATCAGTTATTATTAACGGTGAGCCCCCTTCAGTCAGCTGTGACCTAGGTCACAGCATTGCAGGAGCCATGGCAACTCTATACGGCAGCGAGTGTGCCATGGACAGTTCCTCCAGCAGTCCAGAAATTCAACAACATCATCTCGTATTCGGAGCCATCTCGAGCTGCCAAAACCCACAGTTTGCCTCAAATATGCAGAATGGGCAGTTTGCAACTGTTCAAGGTGCCGATTGCAGCTCGCAATAGCTCACCTGGACCGGAAACCTCCAGGTCCGTAACCTCTGCTCAGCAAAAGACGCAGCTAGCAGCGAAGCAGCCATTTCCGACATTAACAGTGAGACGCTAACAATTACTAACAGTACTGTAGAATCCATAACTTAGGAGAAGTAGACCTCCCCCAATAAGAAATCAACCACTTCAGATTCAACTCAGTTTAATATACCAGTGGAAAACAGATATGCAGTGCTAGAGAAAGTATTAGATCAAGGCAAAAGATTTGAATTTGTCAATGTGGCTTCACTCCACGAAGATGAAAATATAAGAATCCCTCCCATTTTTGTAAATAATATCTATAATATCTCGGAATTCAACAAAGAGATTAAAAACAAATTAACCAGCCAATTTACTACAGATTATAACGGAAACAGAATTAAAATAATGTTTAAATCAATAGCAGACTTCAGAACAGCCATCAAGTACCTCATTGAAACTAAAAGACAATTTCACACGTACAAATATCCAGCCAATAAAAATTTTTCTGTCGTGTTCAAAAATATTCACTCAACAATTACACTAGAGGAAATAACCGAAGACCTTCAGCACAAGTTCCCGTCCATCATCAGTGCAACAAGACTTTATAAAAATAACGTGCCCATTCCAGTTACTGCAGCAGAATTCAACAGTAGTCAAAGTATCGAACAAGTGCTACAAATTAATGAGATCTGTAAAATTAGTGTTAAGCCAGAAAGAAGAAGAAGGCCAAAAGGTCCAGTTCAGTGTATGCGGTGCTTAGACTTTGGACACATGAAGGATAACTGTAACAATTCAATCGCGTGTATTTTCTGTGCACAGGATCATTATTCTGTTAATTGCCCTCAAAAAGAGTTACCTGCAATCTATAAAAATTGCAATGGATCGCACAGAGCTGATTTAAGATCAATAGAATGCCCATATTATAAAAAACAAATAGACACCGCCTCAAATAACCCGAAATCAGGCAATATTAAAAATAGAGTAAGAAACAACCCTCCGTCCAAGACAAACCTCACAAAACTTCCCATTTCTCCCCACATCTAACAATATTCCCAATTTCACATTTGATCCGAACCCTTCCCAAAATACAAATGAAAACAAACAACCTAACAATAACCCATCCACACAACCTTCTCTTATAAATAATCCGAATAATAACTCTTTCATTCATTCCATTATTAACTCAATTACCTACTTCTTTGCCAATATTATTAATAATATCATACCAACAATAGTCAGTAATTTACAAGCATCTCTCTCAGCCTATTTTAACAACAATAATGCAACAGTACCATAAACATAATTTAAATCTGCTCAACTGGAATGCGAATGGCATCAACAATAAAAATTAGAACTAACTTATTTTCTAAAAAATAACAAAATAAATCTAGCTTGCATAACGGAAACGCATTTAAAATCAGATGTTACATTACTGGTTATACATAACTGGTTATAGTGTAGTCAGAACCGACAGATCAAATGCAAACGGAGATGGTGTACTAATACCAGTAGAAAAATCCATACCATTTATTAATATCAACCTTCCACACACTCCAGGTCTCGAATCTATAGCCATTAAATTCCCTTTAAACAATAGATTAATAACCCTAATAGTGGCATACAAGCCTCCGAAAACAAAAATTTCTGATTCGAATATTTCAGCGCTATTCCAGGTGAATTAGCCCACTCTTCTGGTTGGGGATCTTAATGCTAAAAACACTATATGGGGATGCAGGTATACCTATACTGCAGGACACCAACTCAGCAAAATAATTACGGACCTCAAACTTCAGTTAATTATCCAAGCAGAACCCACTCACTACTCCACAGATCACAATTAACACCCAGATATATTAGATATTGCAATTTCTAACACTCAAACCATTTTTCACTCAGCTCCCTTTTTTGCATACTCAGATCACCTACCAACCATCATCTCAACTCAACAAATCACCCCTCTCACACTCCAATTCTCACAATTAACACACAAAACATCCACTGGTAAAAATTTAAGAACATAATTCAAAAACAATCACCCCACTTTAAAATATTAAAAACTCCCGTAGAAATAAGAAACAACGCTATAGCCATTAAACAATATGATAATTAACATAATCCAACATTCTTAATAATAATGCTCACCCCCACCAATTTAATCATTTCAATAAAAAACTTCTGAAAAACATTCTCACAATTATTAACACTAGAAACAAAACAAGAATACTTCGTTTGCATCATGAGAAACCCACAGCTTAAGAAAGAGTTAAATTTACTGTCCAACATCATAAAAAAATCACTAAGGAAACATAAACAAACAACTTACAATGATTTAATCCAGTCCCGAAGCACAAATAACAACACGTTGTGGAAATTCACTAAAAATATCTTGAAAAAGAAAGCACTAATACCCCCACTAACAACTCGAATGGACAAGAAACTCGCTTCTTATGAGTAGGCTGAAGCATAAGCCTTCTTTGCTTTGCTAAATCATTCACTCCCAATGCCACCCCAACTCACCTACTACATTCAAACATACTCGAAATAGCATCAGCTCCCAACCATAACGTACCACACAAAATCAACTACATCTCCACAAATTAAGTCAATAATATAGTTAAGAATTAACAAATTGAAACAATTTTAAATAAAATCGATGAATGCTGTGTCAAATTGAAAATCAAACTCAATCCTACAAAATGCGCCAAAAGATTCTCATTAAGAACATTTTCAACCCCAGCTCCACTCCAAATAAACAATAACCCAATTCCATTGACCTCACACAAGGAATCTGTCAAATACTTAGGGCTGAATCTTGATACCAGACTAAATTGGAAAAATCACATAACAGTAAAAGCACAGGCTAAGCCCAATAATAAACAATTCAACTAAAGCCACCTTTTAAATCGCAATAGTAAGCCTCTCATTAAACAATGCCGATCACCATCTATAAATCAATAATTAGACTCGGAATGCTTATGCATGCCCTATTCTGATCAATGTGCCTCTAAAACTAATATCAAATAAATTACAGAATCATCCAAAATAATTTCGCTCAGACTTAGCCACTCATTTGCACCCTGTTGAATGTCCAAGCAGTTTAACTGCACAAAGAATTTTAACTCTACCTCCTAGTTTACCATATGGCCGCTCCATCTAACAATTTCTTTCTCCAAAATAAACACAATAACCCAAGCCACCCATTACGACCTAGCTACCACCTACCAGCTCCCAACTAGAATAAAAAACAGATATCCATTAGATTCATTCCTCAGCAAAATTTTCAGAACTCAATTAATCACATAGGTGCTCTGTGAGTTTCTATTCATGATTAGTTAGATTTAGATGTAAGATTAGCATTTAAGTTAAATATAAGTCATAAAATACCTATGATGTAGTATAAATAATACTGAACTATGTGCATTCGTTCACTAATAAATATATATTTAAAAACTTCAAAATAGACAAGATAAGAAGTTCTGCAGACTAAAAGAAACTTTAGGGGATATTCCATGGAACACAATAACGCACGTATTTATTCTCATTGTCTTTCTTTTGGAATAATAGACTTTGCTGAACGAGTCACTTGAAAGACCTGTTAAATAAACTCTCTGTATTAGTTCAATATTAGGTAGCAAATATTTATCAGTTAGCATGGCGTGTAATTACCACCTTCTAATATCGGAACATGCCGCTCTGACCTCCTAAGATAATTCTGTTAGGAGGGTTCTGTAAAGAAAATGCACATCGAAAACGTCGCAAATTCTTTCGTTGTCTTGCAGAGTTTTTTACTATATCAATTGTTTTATTATTTTATTTAAAACAGTCATGAAAACAAAGCAAAGGCCATGGAGAAAATGGAAATCAAAATAGAAAAGAAGAAATCGAAGCTGGATATTGAAGGCTTGTGACCGATCTGGAAGAAATCCAATTCCTTTCGCTGAGCAAATTGCTGATCGAAACAAACTAAAAGATTGAAAGAATGGAGAAAGTAGTTGGCGGTCTAGGCAGGATATGCAAAGGCAGTGGCACCGAGGAAGTCAAAATGCGTTATCGCAAGGCAATGAGGCATGCTGTGGAGAGGATAATAGATGTAGGAGCAGATGAGATGGCATAAAATTGAATGGAAAGGGATAATACGAGATGGGCGAGATCCAGTCGGATGGAATAAAATACAACGTGATTGATTGAGATTCAATGGAATAGGGTGAAGTGGATTGATTAATTGATGATTCCAGGCGTCAACTGCTAAGGTCATTAATTCATTAAGTGGCGGTAATCTTCCTCCGCTGGATGGCGCAGACTAACACTTCCATCCAGTGGTTTTCCACCGGGCAACTTCCATCGCGGAAGAAGCTCGGAGCTTCCGACTGTTCTGCCGGCAGGTGTGGCAGTATAGGATATGTGTGTGTAAGTAAGGGATGAGGAGAGGACAAGAAAGAAGGAGGTTCACGATCCGTCCGTGGCCGTTTCTTAGGTTACTGATTCGGCATTCGCCTGGTATTGATTGGGGAAATAACACAAAAGTACCCATTAGTACAGGCAACGCCCAGAATTCTTCAGACAGCTGCGGAACTCGACCTAGCCGTGTAGCGAATTTGGAAAATCCTGCCACCGTTGGGACTGGAACCCTAGGACCTCCCGGAGCGAGGCAGAGCAGTGACATCAGATGATGCCCTGAGCCCCCTCAGCCGGTGGATGTGGAGGAGAGAAATGGGATGGGGTGGGAGCCAGTGGAACTGACGCCTCCCGCACGCCGGAGTGAACGGTTCGGCCACGGTTACGGTTCAGCGAGATTACGCGCTTCGATCCGGTTTTCAACGGCGTTCGGCCACGGGGCGTAGGCGGAGAGGGGCGGGGCTGAGGTGGTGGTGTGTCTGTGAGGGGAAGCCAGCGATCGACGATCTTATGTACAAAAACAGGAAGGAGCTGTGGAAGAACGGGAGGAGTTTGCTGTTGAACAATCGCGAAAATTCTTTGATGGTGCTCAGAACACTCTTGGATGAAGAAAATGTAAGGCAGATCAACTAAGCATCGGTCTCTAAACTATTTCTGTTCATTATTGTGCCACAAACCAGACCCACAAATAATAATAATTTTTTGAGTAATTTCAGGAGCAAACATGTATTTTTTTGAAAGGCAAACATTTCTCACAGTATCAAAACTCGTATTTTCGACCTACCAGAATGCAATCATACATTCGAAGCGAATAAAAAAGCCAAATATCATTATAATAGAAAACTATTTTCAGAAACTTTGCAAATGTCTGTTTCAGATACAATTCTTACTACATATATCTTATAGATTTTAAATGCGAATAGTAAAATGTAAAAAAGATACATACACTTCAATTGACTGATAAACTCCTGCTTCACAATGAGAGGACGTTGACTTGGACTGTCCAACCTGTAACATACAATTTTGTCTTTAGAACAAAAGCAGATACAAATGTACAACGAGCTACAAGATAATTCTTTCAACAATTATTATTTCATCACGGAAACAACGGAATTTTCAGCAGAATCACGCCATAAATATACATATGTGTAATTTTGCCACCTATTAAATTGAATAGTATCCTGTTTGTTCCTTGTGAAATTGTTAACCTACCGGACTGATCTAAATCGTATCATAATTAATTTTGAAAAGCACTCACACCTTTCAGAACACAAAGCCACAAATTTAAGGAAGAGAATGGATGTAAAAGATTATTACCAAAAAAATTCTATTAAAAGTGATACTTAGATCTTAATAAGATTTGGGAAAGAAGTATCATTTGACCAAGTCGCCAGACACCATGATTACTACTGTGTACATATGATAATTCAAAGTACTATTTCTCCGGCATTATTCTATTTTATACATATACTCCTACATCATTGATCTACTAGATGAGCAATTTGTACAAAAATCACCTTGTACTTCTGCACATTTCATTTTTTTAAACGCAACGTGGATCTTTGGTAAGTTCATTTAATACGCTTTATACTAGATATAATTTTCATAGGTAACACCATGATTGGTTTGAAAATTATCGGTAAATCCCAAACTCGCGAAACAAGGAGGGGATTTATCTGAGAATTTCCAAACCACGAGTGGTATTTAATAGGACTATTTCACAAATGAAATTATGACTGAGTTCCAAACGCGTCAAATTTTGAAAATAACTGAAAGCTATGTTAATATCAAAGAGGTTATGTTGTAGTATATACACGGTTTATTGGACATCGAATAGAGATATATGTATATCGGCTCCTAAGTTAGATGGGTCAGAGTAATTGATAAGTTGTGAGAAGTGGGAAGAAAAATCGGATAGAAAAATAGATAAACTTTTTGAGATACACCACCCTGTTTGGGGCATTTTGTATGTACAGTCAAACACTATTGTTTTTAATTTCATGAGTGGAATAGTCACAATAATTAACAATTCTAGGTAAATGTTAAAATTGCTCCTTGTGAGGTGCCAAAGAGAAATCATTCCAATGGGTCCCTTTGAACTCTAAAGAACAACAGCCAGACACCTCGAGTAATATGGCTATGTGCATTGTGATGATTTGCGAGAGGCCGGATGAAACACGCGCTTGTTTGACCACCCGCAGCGCGCTCTGGCGGGGACACTGCTGGGGCGCTTCGTGACGAACCTTTGCACGAGCGCATGCCGGCGCGGAGCCGCATTCCACGAATCGGTGGATGGCGGCCTAAGAATGTCATGAAAACATCGCAGTCATTGTGTTGTCCCCGTCATTCCTACGCATTTATTATCAGCCCCCGTGCTTGTTTAATTTTGAGAAGCGATGGGCTTTAGGCCCTCGGAGCTCCCAAGCATTAAGAGTTATTGGCGACATGATGGGAAGTTAAACGACTAATAGCTGAACTAAATATGTAGAGGATATATCCGTCCGTCTACCCGTTTGACTGACTGCCAGTCTATTTGTCTGTCCGTGTCTGTGCTCGGCTGTTGGTCTATCTGTTCGTTTGTCGGTATGTCAGTCTGTCTACCCGTTTGACTGCCGGTCTATTAGTCTGTCCATGTCTCTGTTCGGATGTTGGTCCATCTGTTCATTTGTCGGTCTGTCAGTCCGTCTGTCCGTTTAACAATCCGTCTGGCTGTCCGTTTGGATAACCGTATAGTCATCCATCTATCTATCCATCCACATGGGTGACATTTTATTAATCAAATCCATGAAAGATGAAAAGACAAAATTACTAGTAGTAGTAACTAACTATTAATTAAGTAGTCTTCATTTATATTCTCAAAAATTATCCTGTATGTTTATAAAGACACGCTTATGAATATAAGATAGACTAAAACGACGTGTCTAATGATGACATAGATCCACTTTTCACTATTACTTCTAAATTTTCGAAAATTTGATTTAACTTGGTACTAACAAACACATTTATTTTATTTTAATACGTTTTAGTAACTGATTACGGCATTGTAAAGTTGGAAGCTCACTTGATGAAATAAGGGGAATTACTCTTGCTTTTTCTGTACAAGGTGTTGAAATTACTCAAACTGTGAAATTAATTCATGCTTATTTCATTTGTAAAAAGTAAGAAATTACTATTGTTCCTGACTTTCGAAATAAATGCAGAAATGCATCACAGATGCTTTGTTTGTATCGGTTGTTTTAGACCTTTTCAAGTTATAGCTCAGATGTTAGTAAGGCAATAATTGTAATATTCCAATGTTATGTAATTGTTTCCAATAATGCGAGAAAGTATGTGCTGCTGTAACAACTCTACACCTGAATGAAATTTAATCTTCAAATTTATACCATTAGTCTTACATAAATCGTGACGAAACCATAAGTTTTTTCATGTAATTTTGACTGGAATACTGTCAAATTAAAAACAATATCGTAATCAAAACTTTCTCAAAAAAAATCTTTTTTTAAACTTATATTTGTCTGGATAGAACGCAATGAACTAAATCACATGACATCAGCGACATAAATGTTTTCAAAAATTACATGAAAATTTTTAACTGTGCCTCACGGCGTTAATATTTACATTACAGTAATTAGATTTATTATTTGAGTTCTTATCAACATTAGAGCAATTTTAAAGTCATTACATCTACTGATTCCATTCTATCATCAGTATCACTACCTAGTTTTATGTGTAATAATTATTTTAGATTTTACATATTTATTTTTGTCTCTACCCCGAATTCTGATTCTCTTAATATCCCTCAATATCATTTATGATGCCTCAATTTGCTCTTTACTTTTGCTTTTCCCTTCTGTAAAATTTTAACCGAATACCAATCGCTTAAAGTATAAAGTATAAAAGTTTGCATAAAGGCTACAATGCTAATGTAGCCTCGCTGTATTCCGCCCCCATAGATTTTCAATAGTCTTCATCCCTCGGAGCCTGTAATACTCACCGTCACCATTAAATTCCCGTCCCACCAAGAGAACTCCCGGCACTTGGTACTGAAGCCTGGAGATTCACTAGAAAACCTATTACGAGCACTTGGACGGCAGCACAGAGGCGTGACGTGCTTGGCAAAGCCGTGGAGGATCGGAATGAGCAGTAGCAGCTCTGGCCCAGTCGAATGGACGAGTAGCAAATAGGGCAGGACTGCCAGCGCGCACGACCGTCGCAATTATGCAAGCAGGATTTTCGGGCAAGGGGTAGGGGGTACACAAAGCAATGTGAGAAGGGAGACTAGATCCCATAGATTTTTGAATCGACCTATTCGATGAATTAAACCAGTTATGCCTTTTTGACGATGATTTAAGAGCTGTCTTTAACGCAACAGAAGACATTATAACTTGCAAAATGATGTATATTATGTATACTCGACTATAGTACGAGTATACTATCACGCATTAATAATATCGACATAGATTGCGATCGTTGTTAATATCGTGTCGATATACGATGTAAAATTCTGGAATGGTATGCATCGCATCGAAACATCCACATATATAAAAAATTGCAATTAATATTGAACTTTTCATTCCATATTTAATAATTTATACGAGTAATTTGTAATATTTCGAACTAATTTTCCAATAACATCGTGAGTTCATGACTTGCTACTTAACGCACCGAGTTCAAAAGGGATTAAAGTAGTATTAAGAAAATGCCTAAGTCTTTCTCTCTAGTAGTTAGGCAATCACGCATGCCTCTCTCTAGGGAATCTGCCGACGAAGGAGCCGGGCAAACCTGAATCGCCGAAGGAATCAGGTAATCGGGTGAGTCTGTGGTTACATAACATTAATTTACTTCTCTTGAATATAATGTAGTAAATACAGCAAATACATATGATTGAATAATTGAAACGGCTTATTCAAGAATTAATAGTAGCATTTTTGATAGAATGAGGGTCTCTGAATTAAAATAGGTGAGTTATAATATATATATATATATATATGTATAATATATATATATATATATATATATTTTCTTAATATTTAGGTGTGAATTAATTTTCTTTTAATTTAAGCTTGGAATTTTCAAATTTAAATATAATTGTTTAATTTAATATATGAGCTTTAAATACCTATTATTTATGAGGTTTGTAAATAATTATTTGGAATATATTTTTTATAATTATTTATATTAATGTTGTATTGAGATAATAAGGATAATTTGTTTCTGATGTAATAATGATAGAATTAGTAAATAAATTGTTTATATTATGTAGTTGATTAATTATTTTAAGGAATTAGGCAAAATTTATTGTTTGCCTGTTTATCAAAAACATGTCTTCTTGAATTAATATGAAGTCGTGCATGCCCACTGAACTGTTAAATGGCCGCGGTATATTGACGGTGCAAAAGTGGCATAATCATTAAACTTTTAATTGAAGACTGGAATGAGTGGTTTGACGAAACAATAACTGTCTTAGGATAATTAATTAAATTTTATTTTGGAGTTAAAGCTTAAATAATAACAGGGGGCAAGAAGACCCCCTGAGACTATAGATCTTAATATTGATATATTAAAATTCATGTTTAGTAGTGTTTCATAAATTTTAATATATAATGTTTTGTTGGGATGTCAAGAGAATAATTTAACTTCTTTTTTATTTACCTATGATGATTGGTTGATTGATCCTATTATTATGAAATAAAGATAAAGATACCTTAGGGATAACAGCGTAATATTGGAGAGTTCATATTGGTAATAAGGGATTGCGACCTAGATGCTTGGGTTAAGAAAAATTATGATGCAGGAGCCTTAATATATTGGTCGGTTCGACCATTAAATTCTTACATGATCTGAGTTCAAACCGGTGTAAGCCAGGTTGGTTTCTATCTTTGTCATGATATGTATTATAGTACGCAAGGATTAAATACATTAAATAATATATTGTTTGGAATTATATTAATTACTATTTTGGCAGAATTAAGTACAATGAATTTAGAACTTATCAATGTAATAATATTACACGTAGTATTGTTTAATTATATAATGAGTTTAATTTGTTATGTTGTGTTGGTAATGTTTGTATTAATTAGTGTGGGTTTTTGACTTTCTTGGAGCGTAAGGTTTTAGATTATATACAGATTTCAAAGGGTCCAAATAAAGTAGGTATTATAGGGATTCCTCAGCCTTCTGCTATTAAATGCTATTAAATTATTTTGTAAGGAACAAAGGTATCCTATAATGTCTAATTATTTAATGTATTTTTTTTGTCAAGTAGTGAGATTATTTTTGTCTCTTTTGGTTTGATTAATTTATCCTTTAGGATATGAATTAATTTCATTTGATTTGGAATTTTTTTATGTTGTACTAGTATGTGTATATTCTATATTATTAGCTGGTTGATCATCTAATTCTAATTATGCCTTGTTAGGTGGTTTGCGAGCAGTAGCTCAGACTATTTTTATGAAGTTAGTATAGCATTGATTTCATTAAAATTTATTATTTTGGTAGATGGTTTTGGAATCAATATATTTTATATTTATTAGTTATATGTTTTTTTCTTAATATTCCTTTATTTTTTGTTGATGTTCTTCTTGTTTACCTGAAACATCGTATTCCTTTTGAATTTTCTGAAGGTGAATCTGAAGTGGTATCGGGTTTTAATGTTGAATATAGAAGAGGTGGCTTTGCATTAATTTTTATGACTTAATATTCAAGAATTTAATTTATAAGAATATTGACTGCTTTAATTTTTTTGGTGGTGATTTATTTTCTTTCTTGTTTTATTTAATATTGTTTTTTATACCATTTGTTTTTATTTGAGTTCGAGGTACTTTACCTCGTTTTCGTTATGATAAATTTATATATTTGGCTTGAAGGACTTATTTGTCTATTTCTTTGAATTATTTAATTTTTTTGATTTTCGTTTTGGATAAATATATAGTTTATTGAGACATTTCAGGAAAATAGAGTTAATAGAATATAATTATATCTTTTGTTTTCAAAACAAATGCTTTAAGCTTATTAACTTAATTTATTAATTGATCTCATAGTTTCAATATCATGGGATTAATGATGAAGTATAAAAAGTATCTAATGGTTATAATTTGTCATGTTAAGGTGTATGGTTCTTCAACTGGTCGAGCGCCAATTCCAGTTAATAAAATAACAATGGATGAGTAAGTTCAAAATAATATTTGATTAGTTGGATAAAATTGTATTCTTCGTAATTTATTGTTGGATATGAAAGGTAAAGTAAATAAAACTGCAATAGATGCTATTATGGCTATTACTCCTCCTAATTCATTAGAAATTGACCACAAACTTTCGTAGGCAAATAGAAAATATCATTCAGGTTGAATGTGTACAGGTGTTACTAGAGGATTGGCAGGGGTAAAATTATCTGGATTTCCTAATAGATAAGGGTTTGTAAGTGATAGGGCAGTTAATGATATTATTATAATTAAAAAATCCTATAATGTCCTTGAAGGTGAAGTATATTTGGAATGGAATTTTATCTAAATTTCTATTAATTCCTTTGGGGTTATTTGATTATGTTTGGTGAAGAAAAAGTAGATGAATTATTACAAATGCTGCAACAATAAATGGAATTATGAAATGAAATGTAAAAAAACGAGTTAATGTAGCATTATCAACTGCGAATCCACTTCATACCCATTGTACTAAGTCGGTTCCTAAATATGGAATTGCTGATAAAAGGTTAGAAATAACAGTAGCTCCTCAAAATGATATTTGTCCTCATGGTAATTCATATCCTATAAAAGCTGCAGGTATGACTAAAAAGAAGATAAAGGTTCCTATAATTTAAGTATATATTAAATTCTAAGATCCGTAGTATATTCCACGGCCTACGTGAATATAGAGGCAGATAAAAAAAATGATGTTCCATTACCGTGTATTGTTCGTAAAAGTCAACCAAAATTTACATCTCGACAGATGTGACTAACTCTATTGAATGCTATATTAATGTCAGCAGCCATTTCTGAAGTCTTTGTCAGCCCGCCATTTCTGAAATTCATGGAAGTACGAGTATAACAATTTAATGCCACCAACAAGCACTATTACCACGTTTACCAAAAGAACAATACAACCATCATCACAATCAACACGACAATCATTCTCCCTTCAGAGCGCCAGTGCAGTCGCTCCACTAACAGCAGCTAGAATAATTAAGTGTGAAAGTGCAACTCAACATCACTCCGGACGTTAGGAAGAAATAGTATTCAGTAGTCATAATTATTCACTTTTAGTGCTCTAGTAGTTGATGAACCACAATGATTTTATGCAGCACAGGCGAATGGTCTGTGAAGCTCTATATTCGTTATAAAATACGGAAGAGTCTTCTAATGTGGCTCCCGACGAAGGCAACGTGAATCTCACGGACAAACATGGAATGCATCGAAATACCGCCTCAACGTCAACACAATGCAGGTAATAACATTCAATTCGGGTTGGATCATTCAGGCCAGCCCGAGGAACCGAATTGCATCACAACAGTCAAATGCTTCAACCCAACCGCATTATAACAAGGTAATGTCCCAAGGAAAGCGTACCATCGATAACGACAATGATAACAGAAACTTTCAACGTGTAACCACAGACAGGCAACCTATGGCAGGGTCGAACATATAAAACCAATACAATGTAGAAATCTAAACGAAGAGATCAAAGATGTTCTAAGTGACGAAAATAAAATCCCACCAACTTTTGTAACTAATTTTGAAAATCAAGTTTCTCTCGCGAATGAAATAAAATTTAACGTCTCATCCAACTTTACTACAGAATTCAAAAATCAAAAGATTCGAAGCCAATTCCAATCAGTGACCGACGTCCGAAAGCAGTTAAATATTTCCTGGCCACCAAAAAAACAATTTCAATCATATTAGGATAAAATTAGTAAAAAATACTCATGATCAAAAATATTCATCCTTCAATCTCAGAAAATGATATATTAGCAAAAATTAATAACAAATTCAATTTACTACAACAGTTACTCGACTATATAAAAATAATTCCCCGATCCCAGTAAAGAACGATTTCCTTTAGAATGGGATGATTTGACAGCTAGTGCTGGCAACACAACTGATGATTCTGTAGTCGTTGTGTCCTTGAACTTATTAGACTCTCTTTCCTCCATTCGTTCGTTTGCTGTTGGCTAACTTGTGAATGACTTTGACGCTTCTTTTTATGATGGCCTTGTCCGACGAAAATATAGTGCGCCACGAGAAATAATTGAAATTAGGAAGTGCAGAGCTATGTGATCTTCTGTAAAAATTATTTTTTTTCTAAAAATTACATTCAATTTAGTTTTATGTGATAAGTATTATGTTTTTTTAAATCGAGTCTTGAATGCGAGATGCGTACTGGTGACGGTTCCCGTGATTCCGCCTTCCGCTGTGTGTGTTTGGGAGCTTTTCGTGATACCGTGATTTTTTATACAATTGTAACACTATCTCTGCTATTGTGCAATTGATAAAAATGTAATTCAGAATTATGTGTATTTAGGTATCATAAACAGAACATAAATAAATTGCGGACTCCTGAGAAGAAAAAAATAAAAAAGCGCGTGTAATAGACAAAGTGGACCATTTCGGCAAAGGCATCACTAGAAAATTTATTTACGGGATGTGTAAAAAGGGTAAGTTTCAATTTATATTTATTACTTGACCAGTATATTTCTATTGAAGTCCCAATTTGAATTGATGATCATTTGTTTTCAGGTGAAAATGTGACATTAGATTCTTTGATCGCGAAAGTGAGAAAAAATTAGGATGTGGGATTTTCTGATAGCAAAACAACTTTGAGAAGATTACTATTGGAGATGTGATTTTAATGGTAGAATATGGACTTTCGAAAGTCCTTGATAGAAAGAGCGGATATTAGTGCTTATTGAATAGAATATTTACGACAGTTTAAAAATTTGAAAAATGTAGATAGTAATTTTGTTTTCTTAGATGATACTTGTTTTTTTCGAAAAGTAATTTGAAGACATATATTATGTGTGTACTTTATTAAATGCTCTTCACATAATTGATATTGATATTTATACAATTTCTTTGTTAGGTTATGCTACCAAGACTTGGCAAGGCTCAAGTATTTTCAGCTGTTTGAGAAAGAATCTGAGTGAACCTGAGTGAACAACGTTACATAGTTTTACATGCGGTAAGAAGGGGTTTGTGGATGATGCAGTTTTCATCGCAAAATAGTAGTGAACACTAGCATGGAACTATGAATGGGGAGATGTTTGAGGAATGGATGGAGAATACTTTACTTCCAAAACTTGATGACCTGTCTGTTATTGTTCTAGATAATGCTTCTTATCACAATGCTCATGTAAGTAAAGCTGAATATCAATTACATTGAACTCTTGAAAAAACAATATAGTAGCAATATCTCCATTTCTGCATTTACAAAATGCAAACAACAAAGATGATGTGACTTATTTCCAAAAAGGAAATTATGGAAATAATTTTGTATTTTCTATGTTACAGTTGAAAGATTACCCACAAGAAAGTGGTCAAAATCTCAACTAAAACACTTCCTGGAAAACCACAATATTCCATTTAGTGTTGATGCACTTCATCAGGAACTGTTTGCTTTAGCTTCATTATACAAGCCAAAGAAACAGTATGTTTTTTCTGTGAATGCTTTGTACACTTATAAATAATCTACAACCACAGATTGTGGTCAGCAAATTTATTTATAAATATGTTACTGATTTTCTAAATTTGTATTTATGAATGTTCTACAATGATACACTAACTCCTAACACATTTCATATTGAGTTAAAAGCATACTAACAAAAAGAAGCATGACACTGTTCAGAATATTCAGAACAGTTATTGTGAAGTAGTATATTTTCATGCCAGTAAAATATTTGTAGGTACCGAGTGAACAATATTATTAATTAATGAAGTGTTGCGACTACCACCCTATCACTGCCACAACAATCCAATAGAAATGGTATGGATAATTGCAAGAGATATTACAAAACTCATGTTGGAAGTCAATTTGATCGTGCTCAAGTAAAACAAGTTTGGCACGATGCCCTTCATCTAGTTACAGCTGAAAAGTAAGTAAATGATAATCATATTATATTTTATAGTTTGTCACTATTTCTTAGATAATCATTGAAATGTATATTGTGTTAAATGAGAACATTATTACCTGACTCAGATGGGAAAATTATGTCAAACATACAGAGAAATTTGTTGAAGAAGACTGGAATCGAGAAGAGAAATGCGACAGCATGAATGTGGAACCCATTATCATCAATGTAGGAGAAGACACTTCAAGTGATGAAGAGAATGAAGATGACAGTGAACCTCTGGATATCCCATTAGCAGGATCGTCAGGAGAGAGATGTTAATTATGAAAAACTGTAAGTATAGTTGAAATTAATCTTAAAGTATGTATAGTAATTAACATATTGTCTTTCCATATTCACGTTCATTTTTCTTTGTACTTTTACAGAAAAACGAGATCTGTATTGTACTAATGGGTAAATTAATTAAGATGATCCCATTGTTTAATAGTTAAATTATATTTTAATTAAGAAAATTGTAAATTTTGTCTTCTATTACTTTTCACTTTATGTTCAATAGACTCACATTTGATTGCCTAAGAATGAAGCAGTTGGCTCGGACCATCTTTCAGACTGTACTTTCGAGACTGGATAAAATATAGCTG